CTCAGACAGAAGGACATTGAACACTTCTTGGAAATGAGCAGGAACAAGTTCATCGGATTCACCCTGGGGCAGTAAGTGTCTAGACGGTCAGAACCAGCTGTAGAGTGGTTCCTGGGGGCTGGAGGAGCAGGCGGCTTGGAATGAGGGCTGTTGCCTGGTAATCAGAATGCAACCTGGAGCCTCCGTGCTGTGGGCAACTCTCTGGATTCTCTCTATGAATTTTTTCCCTTAGTTTTCTTCCACTTTCCTCTAAGAACTTTTGTGTTCTTAACTAGGTGCAGGATCTTAAGTCATTTCCCTTTTGGTCCTTAATTTCCTCAGGAGAGTTTTGGATTAGATGGTTTCTGGGGCCCTTTCTATTGTAATGCAAAATTCTGTGAAAAAGAAACATGGTCAAAACAGATCCAGTATTCCCTCACTTCCCCACCCTCATGAATCCTTCCCACTGGCCTCTCCAAAAGAGAGAAGGCTTTTTCATTGGGCTTTCATGTCAAAAGTGTTGTTGAGCTATCAGCCCTTTTAAGTAGGAATATACCACTTCCACACCACTAGTCTCCAAGAGACTGTATAAATCTCCTAATTTCAGGAACACTTCTATGTGCCATTGTTCTTTTTGTGTCCTGAACCAATGATGGAGGATCTGGGAGTTTGCAGAAGGTCCAGGGTGCTGGGAGTAGATGTTGAAAGTGGCATGGTCTGTGTGACTCCAGGGAGGTACTCTGTACTTTTGAAGCTTATAATCTGGTGTGTCTGGACTTTCACAGGGACACAGATACCTTGGTTGGATTACCCAGGCCCATCCATGAGAGTGTGAAGACTCTAAAACAGGTAACTGGAGTGTGCTATCCGTCTTCATGGCTAGGAAGCCAACAAGGCAAGTGGGATTACCAGGGTCCTAAATACACGGTGAGGCTCTTATACTAGATGCTTTCTGCACCTTCTGTATCTCCCTTGTAGGTCTTTGGCCGAATCCAAAAAATCAGGATTTTTGGATCTCTTACTCTTTCCCAAGCAAGACAAGTTCCCTGCTCTCCTTATTTTACCCATTTTCCTACATTCAGATCAGTAAATAAATTCTCCTTTCTTCCTCTCATTCCTTCTTCCCATCTTTCTCTCCTACCCCCCTTGTGTCCTTTCCTTTCACTGCCCTTTGCCCATAGGGCCACTAACTTCCAAAGGCCCAGGATTGAGTAGGAGTCTGCTCTACATCCATTGTATGTGTGAGCACAAAGCATATGGAGTCATCACTCCATGCATATATGCACATGTATCAAAACTCAGGGCAGCAGCCCAGGGGCAGGGCTGGGTGTTGGCTTCCCCTTGCACTTTGGTAAAGGTAAATGCTTATGTATTTGCTGCTTGTTGGTAAATATGGAAAAAGAATAAATAGAAACACTGTGTGTGAAGCACTTTGACCACTGCCATTGATGCAGAGGCAACTAAGACTCCTACCTTCAAGGACTGGGCACAGTGGCTCACACCTGTAATTCTGGGAGGCCAAGGTGGGTGGATTGCACTCTGGGAGGCTGAGGTGGGTGGATTGCCTGAGCTCAGGTTCAAGACCAGCCTGAGCCAGAACAAGACCTCATCTCTAAAAATAGCTGGATGTTGTGGTAGGTGCCTATAATCTCACCTATTTGGGAGGCTGAGGCAAGAGAATTGCTTGAGCCCAACAGTTTGAGGTTGTGAGCTGTGATGCCACGACACTCTACCAAGGGCTACAAAGTGAGACTTGTCTCAAAAAAAAGAAAGAGTTCTTGTCTAGTTAGAGTGACAGACCCATAAGCAGAACATTTCCTGGAGAAATTAAGAGATTGGTACACGCGTGATTGAGGCCCTCAGCCCTTGGTAATGTCTTTTTTATCTTCACCAGCACAAGTATATCTCCATCGCAGATGTGCAGATCAAGAATGAAGAGGAGCTGGAGAAGTGCCCCATGTCTTTGGTGAGCCAAGAGGGCCCTGCACGGAAGGAAGGCAGAAGGAAGTCTGTCTGTGAGCTATCACAGAGCGTGTGTGCATGTGTTCATTCAGCTTATTGGGCTCTTACTCTGTCCCAGGCAAGACAAGGTCCCTGCTTTTCTGATAGAAAAAACAAATAAGTAAACAAGACTATCAGAGCATGGTAGATAGAACAAAGAAAGTTTAAATAGGATGATATGGTCATCCATAGACTACTTGAAATCGGGCAGTCAGGGTAAACCAAGATCTGAGGTACAAGGACCCGCCACAGGAATATCAGGGGAAACAGTGTTCCAAGTGGAGAGGCCACATCTCTACTGTGTTACCCAGGCCCATCCATTGGATTCTGATGACCTAAAGCAGGTGATCAGAGTGAACTCTCAGCTTTAGGGGTAGATCCTTAAAAAGGGGAGAGAGCATACCACCCCTCACTCCCAGAGTGTCAGAGGGAGTAAAAGAAGGCTGGTATGGCTGGTACACAGAGGAAAGGGCCAGGGTCCCAGAGATAGAGTCAGAGAGGTGGCCCAGGGCCACTTTACAGAGGACCTGTAAGCAAAGGTAGGGAGCTTAAAGTTTATTCACACAACAAAAGGAAGCCTTTGGAGATTTTTAAGCAGGGAAAGTGATGACAGGTTTATGTTTTTTTTTTTTTGAGACAGAGCCTCAAGCTGTCCCCCTGGGTAGAGTGCCATGGCATTACAGCTCACAGCAACCTCCAACTCCTGGGCTCAAGCGAATCTCTTGCCTCTGCCTCCCAAGTAGCTGGGACCACAGGCGCCCGCCACAACGCCCGGCTATTTTTTGGTTGCAGCCGTCATTGTTGTTTGGCGGGTCCGGGCTGGGGATTCGAACCCGCCACCTTAGGTGTACGTGGCTGGCGCCTTAGCCGGTTGAGCTATAGGCGCCGAGCCAGGTTTATGTTTTTAAAACATTGGCTACTGTATAAAGATTGGACCAGGAAACAATGGAAGCAGGGAGATTAGGACATCTTTGAAATAGGTAAAAATTATGCTTACCTGGAATGGGGTAGTAATTGTGAAGATAGGGAAAAGTAGATGAATTTGCTTTATATTTGAGAGGAAGAGCTAACAAGACTGGCAGTTCAGTTGGATGGAAATAGACAAAAGAGTCAAGAACAATTTCCATTTGCCAATAGGGAGGAATGTTGAGAGTTCTGTTTTGGTCACACTAAATTTAAATGCCCATTAATGACCCACGTGGGGCTACAGGCAATTATCAATAGATATATGGGTCTAGAGTTCTTTGAGAAATAAACTTGACAGTATTTAAAAGCCAGAGAACTGGCTAAGATAACCCAGGGAGAGAGTAGAGAGAAAGGAGAGGACAGAACCCAGGACAAAGCCCTGGGGCACACTGGTACATTGAAAGAGGGATGAGTCAGGAAAGGAGCCAGAAAAAAAGAATAAGAAAAATACTCAGTGAGGTGGCAGGAAAGCCAGGAGATTGTGATACCACAAAAGCCAAGAAAAGGAAGTCTTTCAAAAAGAAAGAAGTGATCTGCTGGGTCACAGTCTGCTGATAGCTGGCATATGATAAGAACTGAGGTGTCCACTGAATTTGGCAACGTGAAGAGACCTTGATAAGAGCAACCCCCAGTGAAGTAAGTAATTGGGCTGAAAGCCTAATTAGGGTATATTGAAAGGAATATCAGAAATGGGATGTAGGGTCAAGAGAGGGTGTTTTATAGCTGAGAGATACTAGAGTATGTTTTTGTTCTAAAAGAAATGATCCAGGGGAGAAGAATAAGTGCAGGACTGATGCATTTCCCAGAGTAAATGGGTGTGGAATCCTGAGCACAAGGGAAGACTCACTTTTGTGGGAAGCACGGGTGGTTCATCCCTCACGTCAAAGAAGGCAGAGAGTCTTCAGTAGATCAGCATTAGGCAGAGGAGAGTGTGCTGTCTGATCGCTTCTGTTTTCTCCATGAATCATGAGGCAGGATCAGCAGCTGTTTAGGGGTCATAGGGCAAGGGGGTTTGTTTGAGGAGAGGGAGGGTATGGAATAGGCCTTTTGGAGAACAGGAAGGCAAGCATGCCAGGATTGCCAGCCTCTGCTGAATGCCCACTTAAGACTTTTGTCCATTTAAGCAGAAACTGAGTTGTGTGGGATGGAGGGGGCCTGGTTATTCTTCCCTGCATCAGAGTATCGTGACAGTGACATGTGATACAAAGTCCCTATAATAGAGGCACTTTGGGGGAGGAGGGAGACCGCAGTGGTCAAAAATGACAATGGCCCAAGGACCCTGCCTTCCCACTCTGATTAAAGGCTTAGCTGTGGTCATCAATAAAACAGAGCATTCCAGAGCTCTCAGTTGGCCTCAGGTTGACACCATGGGAAGTGCCTCTGTATGGAGTGTCTGTTCTAGTGTCCTGGACCCTAAGAGGTCATCCATGTCATCTAGAGCAGCCCACCGATCCGATTAAATAGGAAACTAGGTCTCAGAGAAGAAAGGTGATTATCCAAGGTCTTATAGTGAGTCATTAACATAGCTGGGCAAGGAACCTAGATCTATCCAGGTAAGTGCTCTTTCATGCCACCCCTCACAACCAGAAAATGTCTTTGGTCGTCTGGAACGTGACCCAGACAAACTGTGTGTCTCCTGCCACAGGGAGAAGAGGTGGTACCAGAGACGCCATGTGAAGTCCTCTACCAGGGCATGCTGTACAGCCTCCCGCAGTACATGGTAAGGAGGTGGCCAGGCCAGAGCCACCCTTCTTTCCTGCAAGGAACAGGCAGTTAAAAGCAACCTCAAGCTGCACTTTCCAACATTAGTGCATGTTTCCTGAGCCTTTGCCCCTTTGGCAAGGTGTTCTCTAACACGTGAGAATTCTGAGCTTTCCTCGGGGCTTCTCTGAGGGTGCTATTCTCTGTAGTCCTTCTTTGGCAGGGGTAGAAAATAAGGTAAAGTTCGTCCTCTTAGATAAGCACCATAATCTCTCTGAGATCTGCTGCTATCTGTCATGTCCTAGATAGCCTCAGAATGGGGCTGTGAAAGATGCCAATAGTTTGGTTTAGAGGAAGAAAAAGAGTGAAAGAAGTTGGGCTCATACTTCCTACCTCAGTTTTACGCACTGTCACTCCTCCTCTGCTCCTTCCATCATCGCCTTTAGAAAGAGCAGTCTTGAAGCAGAGCAGCCTCTGAGTGGACGCCTCACAGCTCCCTCCTTAGCCTCACAGGCAGATCTCTCAGGGCTGGGTACCTGTCTGCCCTTTTGTGTGCTGGGAAGATTTGGTCATTTAGGGAAGAAATTAGAGAAAGACTGTAACAACACTTTTCATAGCTCTGTTGAAGGATTGAAGAATCACACACTTGATGAGTAGGATGGACATGAGTGAGTTTCCTCATTTTCTACTTCCCAGATCGCTCTACTTAAGATTCTGCTGGCTGCAGCCCCCACCTCCAAGACTAAGACAGACTCTATCAATATCCTGGCAGACGTCCTGCCTGAGGAGATGCCGTGAGTGCTTCCACTGGGGCAGCTGCTGCCATACTAGCTGTCTTGTCTGCAGGGTCTCTCTAACTCCCACCCCACCTTCTTAATACTTATAGGAATTGTCTCCAAACAGACCTCCCCTCCCCCACCACCACCCCCTTTCTCCCACAGGGCTCTCTGCTGTGCTCAGAACAAAGGGTCTAGAAGGTAATGGCAGTGCCAGTGACTGGCTGCCCAGGTGTCTGAGTGGACATTGCCAAGGGATGAGCTTGCCAAGGAAGAGAGACAGAAACCTATCAGTGGAGCTTACTCCATGTAGGCTCGTAATTGGGAACTCTTAGAGGTTTCCCTAGCACAGAAGTTCAAGTTTCCCACATTCTGGCTCTCTGTGTATATTGTAACAGGGGTCCTTGGAGGCCTACCCTCTAAGGCCACCATCTCCACTGATAACTCCTCTCTCCATTGTAGTGTCACTGTTCTCCAGAGCATGAAGCTGGGCATCGATGTGAACAGGCATAAGGAGATCATTGTAAAAAGTATCTCTGCCCTGCTCCTGCTACTCCTCAAACATTTCAAACTTAACCATATTTACCAGGTGAGCAGCCAGGAATGCTTCTGCACTGATCTTAGGTGTTTTCTTGGCCCTGTCTCCCAGAGGAGGGAGGCAAAGGGCCTTGCAGTCCTGCTAAACAACTTTCAGCCTTTTCTTTGTCCTCACTAAAGGGATCCAGCTACCTGTTGCTTGTGCTTGGGTAGGGGTTTGAAGTGGATAGTGGGAAACTGTCCTAGAAAGGTGCAGATGTTTGTGTCCTTTGTATGTTATTCCAGGGCTGTGGGTAGGAATCTTAGGAATCTCTAACTTCTTGGTACTGTGCCCAGCCAGTTTTGAAACAGTGCAAAATAGAATTCAAACATTTCACCAAAACGGAGGAAAGGCATGTTGACCATTCTTTTCTAAATATCAAGCACTTTCTGACATTTGAGATATCATTCTGAATAAGGCACAATTCTGACTCTTAAGAGCCTTGAAGTCTTATAAAGGATACAAATACATAAATAGCCAGTTATAGAGTGATAAGTGCTGTGATACAGATAAGCATTGGTTGCTATGGAAACCCTTAATCCAACTTGGGGTGGAGAAGAGGTACGTTGTGACTTCTAATCTAAATCCTAAAGAAGCAGATGTTAGAGGGACTTTACCTAACAAATTCAAATATTGTGACCTGGTTGTTTGTACACTCACATTAACCTGAAATTAGAAAAAGGAAAAAGGAACAGATGTTAGCCAGGATATGGGAGTTGTCAGAGAAAGAAGACAGGAAGCATTTCAAGCAGAAAAGCTGATATA